GAGTTGAAAATATTTTGCGGGTGTCAGGACAAAATATTTTGTCGGTGTTAGGACAATATTTGTTCAGAGTAACCATATTCCATTTTACGGAGTTCATGGATGACTACAAGCTACAAGAATTCATTTTCTCAATTTTCAGGGGTTCTGTGCATGCACAGTGACCATTTTGTAGACTGTACCCAAAAAAACCTTTGCCTCATTGGTCTGTTATTATTGATCCATGAAAGTAGCACACACCTTAGTTAGCATTAGCGCTTACGTACATGCATGGTGCCACCTTCAAACTGATTCCAAAACAAGCACCGGCATCATTCCCAATTCCCATGAGCTGTAAACTGCAGATGCAATCACATGATTCAATAACCACATTTGGTTGTCTCCACTACACAGTGATAGTGACAAGTAAATATTCCAAGTAGCAGATAAATTGATTGTCATGTATATCAAATTGAAACAAAAAATAGTTATAGAATCAGGTGTACTACACATATAGCAACCGTAACATCTGCAACTTTCCATAATAGCTTCAATGCTTGCATTATGCAATAGAAACCAAGTGTTCAGAAGCAACCCCTGTGAAACATTGCAGGCTTACTGCCATCAGGTAACAAAACAGGAAGTAGAAGAATAAAAAGCATAATGTTTTGACATTAAAGTTTTAGCAGACTATTGGTTGTATACTGAATGGCCACAGAATTGTTTCCACTAACCACAAGCATAATACTAGAAGCATCTTGTTTCGTTATTAATATTCTACCAAAAATAACTGGCAAAAAAAGATTTTTTTCCCCAAATGTAAAAAGAATGACTTGAATAATACCTGAGAAAAAAAGAGAGCCAACCGATCAGTACATTTATTTGTCAAACTATACAAATTAATCTAGACTTTGACCATGTGGCGATCCATAAATTTTTTCCAAACCCTGAACAAATAGCAAAGCAGCTCAGCTTAATGACTCAAACATAGGACTAAAAAAAGGGCAACCTGGTGCATGTAGCTCCCGCTTGCGCAGGGTCCAGGGAAGGATCCGACCACTTTGGGTCTATAGTACGCAGCCTTTCCCTACATTTCTGTAAGAGGCTGTTTTCAGGACTTGAACCCATGACCTCATGGTCACAAGGCAGCAGCTTTACCACTGCGCCAAGGCTCCCCTTCAAACATAGGACTAATGCAAATATAATAATTTAGAGATTACCACCGGTGGGAATAAATAGTCTAAATAATAGCAATACAATCATAGCTGACCAACTTTAAATAATTATGTCTGGGAAATGTTCATCTGAATTCTAAACGTCTGGTGCTCTGAAAACAGTACAGAGCTTTAGAGACCCCATCATTACTTCCCATTTCTAAATCAAGTTTTTCCTAAATCAAAATTGTGTAAAAGAGCCAAAAGCCGCTGAGATGACACTAAGATTAACATATGAGTTTTGCTTCGGTACACCCCTCTAGAAAACTTTGCACGAATCTTAAAGTTACTTTAAATGAGTATTCTCGTACATGAACAATCAACTAATAAGTAGATCACCAGTAATAAGTACCAAGACACATAGAGGCCCAAGATGCCCAAAGTAGCCACACGGCAAAGAACAGAAATCCCGTGGCCTGAAAAGGCAGACAGCGTGATCACTGATGGTGACGTGCTCATGGGTGTGGTTGAAATGGTTAAACGGGTGGAACTTCTCCTACCGATTTGTCTTACTCCTTTAGTTTGTGGGTGTTAGGACAAAATGTTTTGTGGGTGTTAAGGACAATATTTGTTCAGAGTATCCATATTTCATTTTACAGATTTTATGGATGACCGCACAGCTACGTGAATTCATTTTCTCAGTTTTCAAAGGTTCCATGCATGCATAGTGGCAGTTTTGTAGACTCTATCAAAAAATAATATTCTGCCTCATTGATCAGTTATTTTTTATCCATTAAAGCAGCACACACCTAATTCTGTACTGCACATATAGCAAAGATATCATCTGTAAATTTCCATAATAGCTTCAATGCTTGCATTATGCAATAGAAACCAAGTGTTCAAAATCAACCCTTATGAAACATTGGTCCAGGAGACCACATCATTGTCCAGGAGATATAGACACCAAACAGGAAGTAGAAGAATAAGAAGCATAATATTTTGACACTAATGTTGTTGCAGACTATTGGTTGTAAACTGAATGGTCACAGCATTATTTCCACTAACCACAAGGATAATACTAGAAGCATCTTGTCTCGTTATTAATATTTTACCAAATAAAATTGTCAGAAAAAGATTGTTTTCCACCAATGTAGAAGGGAATACTAATGTGAATCTTGATACCTGATAAAAAAGAAAGCCAACCGTCTGTGTATTTATATGTCAAACTACATAAATCAATCCAGACTTTGACCATGTGGTGATCCAGAAAATTTTCCATACCCTGAAATAACAGCAAAGCGGCTAAGCTTAATGACACAAACATAGGACTAATAGAAATACTATAATGTAGAGATTACCGACGATAGGAATAAATAGTCTAAATAATAGCTGATCAACTCTAAAAAATTATGGCAGCGAGATGTTCATCTGAATTCTGAATGTCTGGTGCTCTGAAAACAGTACCGAGCTTTAGATACTCCATTATTACTTGCCGTTTCTAAACATTTTTTTTCAAATAACAATTGTGTACAAGTGAACATGTAAAAGGGCGAAGCCACCGAGATGAGATTAAGGAGGTGTTTGGTTTCAGAATTGTAACGTAAATGCAATCGGTTTACACTGTTAATGTAAATGCCATGGGCAAAAATCAATTCTTGTTTGGTTCAGTGTTCAAACACTAATAAATACCGGCAACAAAACAGGAACTCCACGTCTATGCAACTTGCTAGGCCTGGAAGAATTCGCTCAAGTCGGCTTGGCTGTAACGTAATTTGTTTATGGTGGAGGGTAGGCGGAATCAGGTTAAAACTGGGCTGGGATATGTTACACGGGATTTGTTTAGAAGCAAACACGATTAACGGTATGCGGTTGCGACATAATCGGGTACCGGGTGGAAAACTGCGAACCAAACACCTCCTAAGATTAACATGTTGTTATCACCTTTCCTAAATTTAAGCTTTTACTCAAACAGTTGCATACTTATGTAGAATATGAGCTGCCGCTACCTACGAAAACTGTACATTAGCTCCTCTACTTTTTGAGGACATACATTGAGGTCAGTAGACTAAAGCACCTCATGTTAGTAGAGTGGAAACTAAAGTTGTAGCTCTAAACACGGAAGATAACAAGTAGGAAATTTCAACTTGGAGAATAAAAATAAATGCTTGCAATTACATGATTACAACATTTTGTTTAAGTGCCAAGGTGCTTGACACTAACAAACTAGTAACATTCAGAGAAGTGACAACATACGGGAAGGTGGTGGTTGCGTCGCCAATACTTTATTGCAGAGAGGATCTGAACATCGAGCCCGAGCCACACCCAGCCATCTCCATCACATTTTCCCTCCTTTGCTCTCCACACAATGCATGCCAGCAGCACACAGCACTTGCCACGAGGGCCTGGAGAGGATCGGAATGTTGAAGTTGTATGCTGCATTCCATGGTTTAAAATGTAACCGGGCACTCCAAAAGGGTTACACAGTACATTATCCACATACTAAATTTGATAGCTGAGCAATTCTATGCAATAAGGAATGATCAGTTGTCCTGCGATGGGACATAATACATGCAGTAACAAGTGACAAGGGTGAGCTTTCAACTTGCTTCTACAACAGCATTGCCCACAGAATTCCTGGCGCTGTCCTTTTCAATATGGATTACTGAAGACAAATTACCGATGGCGCAATCATTTAATTAAACAGTAGGGATCCAAGCTCTTCTGCAAATTAGGTGCAACTTGCAAGTCAAAAGAGAGGACAATTTGCTACATCATTGCTAGGCAGAGCAAAAAAGAAACAGGAAACACATGTAGATTATCAAATATTTATTATTAATAAGGCCACCATATAATCTCTCAGACTAAAAGAAGACCTAGATAAAAACCGGGAAAGCCAACCCTTGAGTTCAAGAAATAGAGAAACCAGGAAGGTAGATTACCAGTAATAAGTTGCAAGAAGACACCTAGAGGCCCAGGATAAAAATGCGAAGTCAATTCTCCAGTTCAAGAAAATAGACACATGGGGCAGATTAGTTAGCACATATTACAAACACATACGAAAAGGACATATTTATTTTGGCATTGACGCGCACAATAATCCCTTCTTTCCAAAAGGGTATCGACACAAACGGAAATTTCATGTAACCATGTAATAACCAAAGATTCTTGATTTATATTTTACATGCATCAACAAAGAAGCTTACCAAAAAGTTATCTTGCCCCGCTTTATAAATAAAGCCGCAACCATCATTATTAATAAGGCCACCAGATAATCTCTCGCACAAAAACAAGACCTGGATAAAAAGGGAAAGCCAATTCTTGAGTTCAAGAAATAGAGACAACAGGAAGGTAGATTACCAGTAATAAGTAGCAAGACGACACCTAGAGGCCCAGGATAAAAAACCGAAGTCAATTCTCCGGTTCAAGAAAATAGATACATGGGGCAGATTAGTTAGCACATAGTACAAACACACACCAAAATGACTTGGTAATTTTGGCATTGACGCACGCAATAATCCTTCTTTCCAAAACGGTATCGGCACAAACATAGATTTCATGCAACTATATAACAACCAAAGATAATCGATTTGAATTTTACATGCATCAACAAAGAAGCTTACCCAAAAAGACATCTCGCCCTGTTTTACAAATGAAGCCACAACCACACCGCAAACGGAGGTCCACAAGTAACATAAAGGTTCGAAAGTACAACAAAATAAAGTACTTGCTGGGGGCAACAGCAAAAGAAGCTGACAAAACCCTTCAATTCATATATACCGCAGCTCATAGTGGATCCAATTCATACATACTGCAGCTCATGAGGATACAAACATCCAGGACATTAAAATGCATCAGCGGACTCATCAGACTTCAGGTGAAAGGCCAACCATTCACAACATAACCATGTAGCGATGGAAAGAAGTCATGCGGAACAAGACTTTGTTTGAGCTGCAGTTGAGTAGGTTCGACACCTGTGTGATTGAAAGTGGCGACCAACTTGCCATCCATGTCAACCTGAACTAGCCAGTCAGGAAATTTGACCAGCACAAGCAACTCACCATCCCCAGGCGCGACCGTTTCCCAAGAGTCATCGTCGTCGCGTTTTCCACACGACGCCCTAATCTCTGTAAGCGGCAATTCAATGTGGCATTTGAAGGTCCAGACCTCGCTTTCATAGTCCTGTAACACCCAGATATTAATGTTTGTCGCTTTGTCATTAAAGCTAGACATGCCGAGCATTCCATCCATCTCAAACAGCCCATCCCTGGCAGAACCACGAACAATCGGGACGCGCATCTGTCGGAACGACTCAGCCGTGGTGTCAAACACGATTAGCATGTTGCTTTCGCCCTCGTGCTGCTGCACCCGGTGCCAATGCAGCCCGCCACGGAGTAGCACATACTTGGTGCCGAATATGACTTCTTTATGCGCTTCCCCCGGCCTGACGATTCTTCTCGGCGGTTGGCCGGAGCCCAACGATAAAACATAGCAGCCAGCTTCCCTCCCAGCTGCCGGACACCGGTACATCAGTACCCTGTATTCGCCGGTTGGGGGGTGACGGTACATCCCCAAGAACGTGGAGTCCATAGGCACCCTGAGGCGGGCATACTGACGGGTCGCTGGGTTGCAGATGCCCAAGAACTTGCGGCGCCACCAGTCGAAGACAACGAGGCCGTCAAAGGAGGCCACCAGATCTTTGAATTCGGAGGCTCGGCCAAGTCGCGCGACGGGCTGGAGCTTGTCGGCGGCGGCCCGGTGGTCGAAGGGGATGATGTCTATGTCGCCGCCGACCTTGTAGTAGCCGTAGCGGGGAAGGTTGCAGACGTAGAGGAAGGGGCGGGTGGGCTGGCGGGCGTGGTTGGCGATGAGGAAGTCGCGGGCGGAGGTGGCTGTGCGCCAGGCGCGGCAGACGGCGCGGCAGCGGAGGAGCGATTTGGGGGGCAGGCGGACGAGGATGTCCCAGATGAGGATCTCATCCGGGATGCCATCATGAGGAGGCGTCGGCCCTCCCCTTGCTGCCTCCGCCATGGCCGCCGGCGAGGAGCTAGACCTGCATCTCGATCTGTCGCAGGGGTAGAGTGGACAAGTAGCGGCGTGTGGGGAAAAGTGGCAGGTAGTGACGGCGGAGGGTTTCGTGGCCGTGGTCGTTGGGATAGGAATAATATAGTGCCTTTTTTTTCTTTTCTTTTTTTAACAGGTATTAGGCGCTGAAGGCGTCCAATTTCATTCAGCCCAATACCAGCGTACAGCCCCTAAAAAACATGTTGTACAAAGCCCTGAAGGTTTAGATTGGAAAGAAGACAGATTATTAAAGGTTTAGATTGTAATATCTTTCTTTTTCCTGCGGAAAACCCGGCGGCTCCTAGGAGGCGATTAGGGTTCACGCGAGGACTTTGACGGCACTCGTCGAGTTGATTGGCGAGGCGGGGAATCCATCGCTCAGAGATGGCTACGGCGGCTGGGCGTGATGGACTGCGAGGGGCCAGGGCTCTATCGCCCAAGTCGGCGAGGGTGCGGCTTGAGGAGGCTCTAGGGAAACTCGATATCTCAGAGGAGGAGGCCACACCTCTGGTGATTGATGATCGTGATGAGGGCGGCCTGCAGAAGTGGATGCTGGCGTGAAAGGTTCTGTTCAGCAATGTCTTCCATATCCAAACCATCTCCAACGCCCTTCGGCCCGTGTGGGGAAACCCTAAAGGTTTAAGCTTGAGATCTGTTGGGCCTAATAATTTTGTAGCAGAGTTTGCTACACAGAGAGATCTTGACCGCGTTAAGGGACGCTCTTCATGGCACATCAACAAGCATGTTGTGATCATATCTGACTTTGTTGATACCATGAGGCCTTCTGAACTCAAGTTTGAACAGCTTCAGGTCTGGGCAAGAGTTGTGAATCTTCCCTTCCATCTATGGAATGAGACCTGGGGCAAAGCCATAGCACGTCAAATTGACAAGGGGGCCACTTGAGTGCAATTTGATCATGCCAATGGATTCCTCAAGGTTAGGGTCACCCTCAATGTGACTAAACCGTTGAGGCGTTGGATATTGATTGATCCAGCCAAACGTGAAAGCACAGATGTGTATAACATAGAATATGAAAATATCCCTCACTTTTGCTTCTCATGTGGTAGGTTGGGTCACTCAGATTTGTTCTGCCCGACCCCGGGGACTAGAGACGCCAACGGCGATCTGCCTTTTGGGAAAGGGCTACGTGCAGCGGATGAATATAGGCGAGCAGCATCAAGTGGGAACTCAAACAAAGAGCAGAACTCATCCAGGATGCCATCATGAGGAGGCGTCGGCCCTCCCCTTGCTGCCTCCGACATGGCCGCCGGCGAGGAGCTAGACCTGCATCTCGATCTGTTGCAGGGGTAGAGTGGACGAGTAGAGGCGTGTGGGGAAAAGTGGCAGATAGTGACGGCGGAGGGTTTCGTGGTCGTGGTCATCGGGATAGGAATAGTATAGTGCATTTTTTCTTTTCTTTTTTTAACAGGTACTCCTATTAGACACTCAAGGCGTCCAATTTCATTCAGCCCAATACCAGCGTACAGCTCCTAAAAAACATGTTGTACAAAGCCCTGAAGATTTAGATGGGAAAGAAGAGAAATTACAAGGCAAGGCATGTGTTTTGTCTGTGAGCTGAACCAAGCAACTACTTCATGAGCAACATTATTAAAGTTATTAGTACAAAGTTGAGTCACTTATTTTGGGGTAGAGGTAGTATATGATACACCTGCATGTGAAGGTTTTTTGTTGACCCGAAGAGATCACAAGAGAGGTTCTAACAGTCCAAGGAATAGAATCAGCTGAAATACTTTTGGTCGCAGCCGCTTTTGCCAGGGGATCAATCTGCAAAGCATGGGTCACTTTGGCCGCAAGAAGAAGATCCAAAGCTTCACCATGAAGAGGAAATTAAGTGATCGGAGCCGATGTTTGAATCCGCACTTGAGTGTCCCTCTGGTCCCACAAGATAGCTATGATGCCATGCAATAAGCCAGGGCTTTTTCTTGCATTTGAATGCCGCATCAGAGTAATCTTTTGATCTTGTGATAAGTACATTAGTGCGAAGGGTGCGGTCCCCTGATGAAACGTCATCACACTCATGGACCCTTGGATGTGGTGTTGCACATTGACCTGGCGAGGACCACAACACCACCTACACAAGTACAACCATTGTTTGTGCTGCTTGCTGAGATCGAGAGACATGAGGAAGGAGGGCCAACCGTTTCGGCAGATGATGCCATCTGCCCCAGGGAAGAGGATATGGATCATGACATGGAGGAGGCCGATGACCATAACCAGTTTTTCAATACGGACTTTGACAACGAAATAACAATGGGTCAACCATATGAATGTGAGATGCATGTACCAGAGCCGGAATGTCCTCGGGAGTGCAAGAAGTCTTTGTTCATGTAATCCTCAGAGGACACGCCTCCAGATGCCGGCTCCACCCAAGCTCAACTAATTAGCCAGAGTCGTCCAATGCTGAGCCCGACAACACTAGGGGTGGTGCTCAGGGAGGGTCTGACAGACCCACCAGCACCTGAGCCCACCAAGAAGAAGTAGAGGAAGAGACTGGTGGCAAGAAAATCCAATAAAGCTGGCAATGTTGGTTCTAGCAGCCAGCCGCCTTGGACCAAGGTTGACCGTGTACCGATAAAACATGCGCCATTAATCCATGTTGCGGGAGAGCCAATGGTACCGGCGAATGCACTAGCTGCCATAGCAGGGGATCTTAGGAGACTCCATGACCATGTGCTTTCGACAGAGAGAAGCCTCCTCGCCTCGCATGATCCAGGATACCCACTTTATATGGTTCATGTGCCGAGCAATTGCAAGATGTATGTCCACACATGCCCTGCGGACCTCTTCTTCCTAAGGTTAGATTACATCTTCCAGATGTTTCAAATGAGGACACTCGATTTTACGTTTGTCTGCCTGTATGCGCTACACATGAACTACAATGTTAGGAGAGAGAGCAAGTCACCGGTCTTGCGCGCCCCCTACCCTCGTTAGCCACCCGTAAGGCGGTTGACGCTCTTCTTTTGCCGCAAGAAAGCTAATTTTCGAGAAAAAAAATCACAACGAAGGTTTCAGGCCAATCGTAGTTACGGATCTCCATATATACACGGAACGGTGAAACAGAGCTAGGGAGAACGCAGAAACAGAGAGAGACAGATCCAATCTCGGAGGGGCTCTCGCCCCTCCTGTGCCATGGAGGCCATGGACCAGAGGGGAAACCCTTCTCCCATCTAGGGAGGAGGTCAAGGAAGAAGAAGAAGGAGGGGGGCTCTCCCCCCTCGCTTCCGGTGGCACCGGAACGCCACCGGGGGCCATCATCATCACCGCGATCTACACCAACACCTCTGCCATATTCACCAACATCTCCATCACATGCCCCCCCTCTATCTACAGCGGTCCACTCTCCCGCAACCTGCTGTACCCTCTACTTGAACATGATGCTTTATGCTTCATATTATTATCCAATGATGTGTTGCCATCCTATGATGTCTGAGTAGATTTTCGTTGTCCTATCGGTGGTTGATCAATTGCTATGATTGATTTAATTTGCTTGTGGTTATGTTGCTGTCCTTTGGTGTCCATCATATGATTGCGCGCGTGGATCATACCCTAGGGTTAGTTGTATGTTGATAGGACTATGTATTGGAGGGCAAGAGTGACAGAAGCTTCAACCTAGCATAGAAATTGATGCATACGGGATTGAAGGGGGACCAATATATCTTAACTCTATGGTTGGGTTTTACCTTAATGAACATTAGTAGTTGCGGATGCTTGCTAATAGTTCCAATCATAAGTGCATAGAATTCCAAGTCAGGGATGACATGCTAGCAGTGGCCTCTCCCACATAATACTTGCTATCGGTCTAGTAAAGTAGTCAATTACTTAGGGGCAATTTCATAACTGCTACCACCACTTTTCCACACTCGCTATATTTACTTTATTGTTTCTTTATCTAAACAGCCCCTACTTTTTATTTACGTACTCTTTATTATCTTGCAAACCTATCCAACGACACTTACAAAGTACTTCTAGTTTCATACTTGTTCTAGGTAAAGCGAACGTCAAGCGTTCGTAGAGTTGTATCGGTGGTCGATAGAACTTGAGGGAATATTTGTTCTACCTTTAGCTCCTCGTTGGGTTCGACACTCTTACTTATCGAAAACTGTTGCGATCCCCTATACTTGTGGGTTATCAAGACCTTTTTCTGGCGCCGTTGCCGGGGAGCAATAGCGTGGGGTGAATATTCTCGTGTGTGCTTGTTTGCTTTATCACTAAATAATTTTTATTTGTTGTTCTTAGTTGTTTTCTATCTTTAGTTATGGGTAGGAAACGCAAAATACCAAAAAATTAGTTGTACCTACTAAACCAATGGTTGAAGAACCACTCAAAATCTATCACATTGATGAAGCTTATTACTTGGATCATCTTCGATCCCTATGTGCTCGTGCTGAAACCCCAACTAGCTTAGTTGAGGGGAAATCTTTAGATGAGCATGCTTATTATGTGCGACACTGCTACCTCTTGAGCACTGCGTAGGATTTCCCCGAAGAGGAAGGGATGATGCAGCAAAGTAGCGTAAGTATTTCCCTCGGTTTTTGAGAACCAAGGTATCAATCCAGTAGGAGGCTACGCTCGAGTCCCTCATACCTACACAAAAACAATAGCTCAACGCAACCAACGCGCTTAGGGGTTGTCAATCCCTTCACGGTCACTTACGAAAGTGAGATCTGATAGAGATAATAAATAATATTTGTTTGGTATTTTTGGTACAG